TGGCATTTCCTGAAATCCACTGTACAGATACCCAAAAACTGCTGATGGTAATAGGAGTTGCATTCTCAATCCAATTATTCAAACACATCCTTCTTACCTACCAGAATGATAAACATGGACATGTGGCTCATTGAACACTTGTGCTTATATCAGTGAAGAGCAGAATGGAGTAGTCCTGGCACACCCTTTTGAAAGCACTTATCTCTAATAATAGTGGTCGAGACTCATTTTCAACAGGGCCAGCAACCTACTACAGACATAAATTGATGTTATAGCCATTTGTAAAACACCAGACCAGTCAATTGTCATCTCATATCGTTAACTCAAGACATAAATTAGTCTAGATCAAAAATGACTCTGATCAGACACCACTGGGGAACAATAAATAATCCTTGTAAGGGCATCTACCCTTTTTCATTTCAGAAATGCTTGGATTGTTATCATTGATTTAGGTTTGAGTAGATTCAAACATTTCAGGGGGATTTTGACAGGGTAAGCACACAATTTAAACTTGTGATTTATGATAAATCCCTTTCTTTTAATAAGACTCACTGAAAGCAGAAAGCTTAGCTTGATCGGTGGAGTGTTAATTTATTTACTGCAGCAGCACATAGAATAACATCAATTTTATTGCTCAGACAAAAGAATTCCCATTTTGTATGAAAGGAAAAAGTTTGCACCATGCAAGATTATGAGAGCTGTTCTGTGTAAGCTAAATGTAACATAATGTTATTGATTAAATGTTATCAGTAAACTCATAAAAGAGTGAGCACTGTGCATGGCAAAAGCCTTTCCTTGGAAGCACACATATTAGGAAACAAGCCAAGCCATTCAACCATTCCGGAGAAATAACAACATGAAAAGTAGTGTTAGTACTAGTGCAATAGAACCTAATAAAATACTAGATATAAATCAAAATGATATGGCGTCTACATTTTATCTGACATTGATTACTGGCATGATGCCAGGAATGTGTAGGGAGTAAAAAGAAACTCGGGCAGAATTAGAAAGTTTAATGAATAGCTTTTCCAAAAAGGAAGTTAGCACAGTTCATATGAATTGAGCTAAGAGATACTGGCACAGGCTGAGAATCATACCCTGATCTCATTTCATCTCATAGGGTAGCTGACAGTCCTCTGTGTTGGTCACTTCACAGAGTTCTAGTATTTCTTCAGCCTCCATCTCCCTTTGCTCGAAATCTCATATAGCATACTATTGCCTTCAGCAAGAATAAAAGGATGCAATTGCAGTGACTGGCAGGTGGTGAGATTTGTGCAGAAAGTGACCAAACTCTCCAAGCAATAAAACACTCATCTCTGGAAATAATGTTAAGGTAGAACACTGGACAAAAATCACATCTGAGGAACCCAGTTATATGCCTCACATATACGGGAGCACTCAGAATCTGATGCAGCCATGCATTGCAGCCAATAAGCTTCTAACTTCAGCTTGTTCAATTTGTGTCCTGTTTTTACCTTTACAGCCAAGAGCATCCTAAACATATACCTTCCATCAACCTTTTCCCCCCAAACATTTTACTCATCAATCTGGTGACTATAGAAACATTTTTTTATGACGTTTTGTTTTCTTTGTTTTTGTTCATAGACAGCTAACAGGTCAAAGAACCAGCAGCTCACTGATGAGGTCCGTCTCCTATTTGTTCCTGTCAGGGCTCCGGGTGTGACCATAGGTATGTGAACTGACGCAGGGAAATGCAGGCTTCAGATATGTTATAAACAATATAATTTATTAATACTAACAATACAAAACGCAGTGCAATACTAAAACATAAACACAGTGCAATCAAACCAAACCAAACCACCCACAGATAACAATACATACAATGCAAGCGTAGTCAAGCAGGCCGGGTCAATAACAATCGGGCAGGTAGGAACAGGAGGAGCAGGCAGAGAGTAGTCAGGTCACGAGCCGGGTACAGCAACTAACGGGCAGGTAGGTACAGGGGGTCAGGCAGAGAATGGTCGGGGTCACAAGCCAGGGATCAAACAGAAAAGTCAGCAGAGGTCAGGATCGGCAACGAGTCAGTCAGGCAGGAACAGGAACAGAAACAGGAATGCAGGTAACAAGATACAGGGGCCCAGGAAAAACACACACCAAGGCCCAGACTGCAGGTCTGGCCATCCCTTAAATACACCTGCAATCAGCCTCAGGTGTTTGGCTGACTGCAGGGTTGAGTCTCTGATTGCTGAGAGCACCCGCTGGCCAGCCCTGGTACTGCAGCCCACAAGGCAGGTGAGTCCCACCATTATTGGCAAGTCCATTCCTGACAGTTCCCAATGCCCTGGTCGGATCAGATTGCTGACCCTTCCTTTTCCTCTTTGATATAGTAAATTCACAAACAAAATAGAAATTTCTTTTACAATACGCCATACTGTCTGATAGTGATGGGCTGAACACTCACCTGTTTGGTTTGCGGTCGAATTTTTGAACATAATAAAAGTTCGACTGCGAAATTCGAACAGAGGGGACAATTCAGTAAGTGGTATCTTACTGCATCTGAGTATGCGGTAAGATATTGCACAGCTGCTAAAAATGTTTCAGCTGTCATCGAGGTTCCCTGCTGACAGCTGAATGTAAAAAGAATGCTCGACATTGCCCAGCAATAAAAAAAAAAGGAAAAAAAAAGCATGGGGTCACCCATTATCCATATCAAGCCCTTTGGATCTTGGGCCAAATTTAACCACCTCCCGGCCGGCTGTTGTATATAAACGGCCGGACGGTGGCAGTGCAGGGTCGGGTGGCTGTTTATAAATGGCCTCCCCGCACCCTGCTTGTGGGCACTCCCTGGGAGCGCGCAGCACTGCGAACCAGTGCCCACTGTGTCCTCCAGGCACAGTGGAACACTGATCGCCAGACGGGACCTCTGTACGAGGTCCCGATCATGTGATCACTGATTGGCCAATCAGTGATCACATGCAGAGTAGTAAGCAAGATGTCACTTCTGACATCATTGCTTACTACGTGTGAAATTTGTGAATGATCACAGAGGTCACATGGTACAAGCCTATTCACAGCAGCCATGTACCATGTGACAAGCTGTGACCAATCACAGCTCACTCAGTAGTTCTCAATGGCTGCAAAAATGCAGCTAGAGAGAAGGAGAAATGATTGCTTTTACATCCTTTATGGGTGTAAAAGCAATAAGTGTAAAAAAAATCTTCATCACCCCCACAAGTAGTACAGTGTCACCATGGTGACTAGGGTGACAGTATGTAAAAAAAAATAATAAATAAAAAATAATATTAAAAAATGTAAAAAAATGTAAAAAATAGTTTAAAAATTATAATTTTTGGTTATAAACTAATTTGGGTTTTTTTTTTACTAAAAAAATAACAGAATAAATTTTGGCCAAGATTTATGATGAAATACTATTTACTTGCAAAATTTTATAAGAAAAACACTTTTTTTTCAAAATTTTTGTACTTTTTAATTTACATAGCACAAAAAAATAAAAATCCCAGTGGTAAATAAATACCACCAAAATAAAGCTTTATCTGTCTCAAACAATGCTAAAAAATTAGAGCAATTGTCATTCAAAGTGTGATAGCACTGAAAGCTGAAAATTGGCCTGGACAGGAAGGGGGTAAAAGTGTGCGGACTGGAAGTGATTAAAAAAAAATCTGAGCATGCAGCCCAGCAGGTCAGGAAAGGGGGGGGGGGACAACCAGGCCACATGCCATTAATATGGGGGGTGCTTTGGGGCAGGGGGGGCTCCCCCCAAAAGCATTTGTCCCCATGTTGATGGGGACAAGGGCCTCTTCTCCACAACCATGCTGGTGGTTGTGGGGGTCTGTGAGAAGGGGGCTTATTGGAATCTGAAAGCCCCCTTTGGCAAGGTGGCCCCCAGATCCTGCCCCTCATGTGAATGAGTATGGGGTACATGGTACCTCTACTCATTCACAAAAAAAAAAATGACAGTAGAAAAAACAAAAACGCCCTGCTGTTTACGCTGGCTCCCACCATCTGACAGCTGCACCAGGATGACAGTTCTTAAATACTGTGATGACATTATGTGCTGTGATTACCCAAAGCATTGCACCTGACCTGTGGTGTCAGGGCACAGCGCTTTGTGGGGTTACTGTGGGCAAATAGCCCGCCGAATGCCCTTACTGTTCGTGTATTCGGCGAACACATAAACGGCTGATGTTCAAGTTGAACTAAAGTTTGACTTGAACATATAGCCCAGCACTACTCTCCAATAATACTGAAGTCAATTTTGGTTCAACTTGAGCTCTACAAATATTTTCTACTCATGTTTTGTTAGTATTTGCAGTTGGGAACCCATGCCTCTGATGTCAAGGAAAAAGTCAATAATTTTATCTTTTGAGTTATTTGATAACATTTTAGTCATTCTGTTAACATTTAAAAATTGCACAAATGGAAGGAGTGCCACACCAAAGCATAAAAAAATACAAATTAATTTATTAGTTAGCACAAAAAAGAAGTCAACATGTTTCAAGGGTCAAAAAACTCCCCCTTCATCAGGACTATAACAAAGCACAATATATTGTAAATGCAACTCAGAAAAGGTGGAGCTTCTTTGACCCCGGAACCTGGATTCTTTTGTCCTTTGGTCTGGAGCTCCTCCATTTGCGCATTGTTTTCTGATAACCTGCTGGGGTACCCACCCAGGTAGTCTTGTGTGTTGTGGGCAATTCAAACAGTGTATCTTTAAATGTTTTTGCCTTCTCACTGCTTCATATGAAGTCAGCTCCACTTGGATGTTTTTTACCTCATTTAATTCAGTTAAAATAACAGATGGGTGCATCAATATGCCAAGGTACCTTGGGATTTCTGCTTGGTGCCGCATTTCACCAATATACAGACTATACTACTATCTTAACCACTTCCCATATAAGGAAATGACTGGCGTAAGGCGGTTCTCTCGTTCTGGGAGGACGTCATATAACGTCCTCTCACTCTAACTGCGCGTGCGCGGCTCCGGGACCATGGAGCATGGTGATCGGTGGTGCGCTGTGTCCCTCGGACACAGCGGATCACCGATCAACAGAAATAGCCGAAGATGTCAGTTCGGTCATGTGATCAGCTGTGTCCAATCACAGCTGATCGCATGTAAATAGGGAAATTCCGGTTATTGGCATTTCTCTCCTAACAAGCTGTTATGCTGACAACTCGTGAGGAGAGGAGAGCCAGTAATTGGCATTCCTCAGAGGGGACATCTACACTGATCATCAGGGCACTGATGATCAATGTGCCCTGATGATCAGTGTAGCCCCAGCAGTGCCACCTGTCAGTGTCCATCAATGTCAGGTGTCAGTGCTCATCAATGCCACCTGCCAGTGCCCATCAGTGCCACATATCAATGCCCATCTGAGCTGCCTTTCAGTGCCACCTATCAGTGCCAGTCAGTGCCACCTACCAATGCCAGTCAGTGCCACCTATCAGTGCCAGTCAGTGCCGCCTATCAGTGCCATATATGAGTGGTCTTTCAGTGCCCATCAACGATGCATGTCAATGCCCATCAGTGCCACCTACCAGCGCCTCCTCATCAGTGCCACCTATCAATGCCCAATCAGTGCAGCCTATCAGTGCCAATCACTGCAGCCTCATTACTGCACATCAGTGAAGGAGAAAAATACCTTGTTTACAAAATTGTATAACAAAAACAAAGAAAAAACTTTTCAACAACTTTTCAGTTGTTTTTGGTTTGTTTAGCAAAAAATAAAAAACCCAGAAGTGATTAAATACCACCAAAAGAAAGCTCTATCTGTCTAAAAAAAATGATAAAAATTTCATATGGGTGTTGCATGACCGTGCAATTGTCATTTAAAGTGCGACAGCGCTGAAACTGAAAACTGGCCTGGGCAGGAAGGGGGTATAAGTGCCCTGTAGGCAAGTGGTTAAAGTGGAGTTCCAGCTGAAAAAATAAAAAGTCAGCAACTACAAAAATTGTAGCTGCTGACTATTAAAATACAGACACTTACCTGTCCCTCAGTCTAGTGTTGTCCTCACCACCGCTGGTTTCAATGACCATCTTTTCTGACACTTTGGGGTTTATTTTTTAAACCTGGAGAGTTCAAAATCAGGTTCAATTCTGCATAGAAAGCAATCAGAAACTTTAAAAAAAAACTCATCATGCCTCTTACTAAATACCTTGGACTGTCTACTTTCCAAAAAGGGGTCATTTGTGGGATATTTGTACTGTCTTGACAATTTTTGGCCTCAAGAAATGAGTACATGAGGATTGATCAATTCTCAGATATATACCATAGTTTGTGGACTCTATAACTCTCCTACAGATTATATAATATACACTGATTTGGGTTGTTTATACCAAAGAAATGTAGTAGAATACATTTTTTGTCCTAAATTTATGAAGAACAATTATTTATTTGCTAAAATTTATAACTGAAATAGAGAAAAACATGTTTCTGTCTTTTTTAGTTTATTTAGCAAAAAATTAAAAACCCAGTGGTGATTAAATACCACCAAAAGAAAGCTCTATTTGTGTGAAATAAATGTTAAAACTTTCATATGGATATTGTGTTGCATGGCTGCACAATTGCTATTCAGTGCTTAAAGCTAAAAATTAGCCCAGGTAGGAAGGGGGTGAAAGTGCCTGGTAGCGATTAATAACATACTTTTTTAATTCTTCTTTATTCATTCTTTATACTTTATTCTTCTTCTTTATTCTTCTTCTAATTCATACTTCTTTAATTTAAATTAGAGCTATGGCCTCCCATAAAAAAAAGAATACGTGCTACAGTGCTTAACTGTAAGTTAATCTGCAGTTACCATTTCTCTTAGACCTTTTGCAAAGTTACATGAATAAATATCTGTTGAGCCTGCCAGTGAAGACCATCTCATGCAGCTTTCTGTAATGGGATGACAATGTTGCTGCACTGCTACCTAATTTAAAACAGCATTATCCCTAATGTAGACTGTGCCTGCAGCACAACAATGGAATGAAAAGAAGATTTAGGGGGCATGGCTATCAGCATGATCACTGCTGATTCATAATTTTGTATAGAGGGTGTACAAAATATTCACAGACCAACACAGAAGAAGTGACCACACAGACATGAAATTTTATCACTGCACTAACAAACTGTTACGAATGTTCGGTGATGAAAATGGCACATATGCACTATACAGGTGGTAAACAGTGCTGCTGGTGTTCAAGAAGCCTTGGTGGTAAATTTTAGGTGTTTCCTTACACTCAGACTAGATACTGTGAAACAGCATGATGACGTCACCTGCTTAACCTCACCCTCTGCTCCTAATGAATTAATTCAACAAAATGCATACAGTGAGGTTTAGCAGGTAATGTCATCGCACTGTTTCACATATGTGATGAATGTAACACAGTTGCACAGAATGATTAAGGACTTTGCATGATTGTATTTATTATTTGTAGCACATATTAGAATTTTTAGCCCTGTGTGTGTGAATATAATTTGAATATTGAAGAAGCATTTTGGTCTCATGATCACTCAAGGGAGAGCTGTGTTTTATGCAGCATGAGTATTATTACAGAGTTTTATTTTGTTTGTTACCTTTTCCTTATTTACTATCTAATGAAGATATTCTGGTCAGAATGGTAGGCACAGATCAGCTCCAAGCTGCATAAAATGAATTTCTTTAAAAGACAATGCACAGCAGGAAGAATCTTTTAGAAGAGAATAGCTTATATTAGCAATTCCAGTGAAGACATTTCTTTCCTATTTTCCTCTATTTAGGATCAATCTCTCTGTTCTTTATGCCCCGATTTACTGCCAAATATCATACTATTATCTATGATGTATCCAGACTCTCAACTGCTGATACTTGACTTTTGCCTTACCATTTATGGAGTGCTAAGATAACTTTTAAACATAAATTTGATCTGACAGGATCAAATCAGGTGGGTCACTGGACTTTAAATTTCATGATGTAGATAAATTCATGCATTGTTTTATTCTCAACAGATCTCACAAATCTAAGGGCAAATATTCAGGAGAATCAAAAATGATGAATTAGTGGTCCTCTGGATTTCAAGATCTTTATTTAAATTACTTAAGGATTCTTTTCCAATCATTTTATCCTTGTTAAAAAAAGCAGCAATGATACACTTGTAACAAACAGAATATGACTATTTCCATACAGTACAGATCCTGATCTATCAATCCCTTTTTGTTTTTCTTTATGTACAACCAGTGCACTTACAGTTAATAAAACAAACAAATATTGAGACATTGTCCCCAACTTTTCCTTTCCCTCAAGCAAGTAATAAGCCTCAGTATATTGGAAGCATGTATTTTATTTTATATACAGTATGTAAAGTGCAGCGCTAAAATTAAGTAAAAGGTGCAAAGTCCATATGATATAAATAAATTAAATATAATAATAAATAGTTCATATAAATGATAAAATCGTGCTCTTAGTGGTCTTGTATATCCTGGTCGGTGCTTGTGCTTTACATAAAACAGAAGAAATGCGCACTCACCGGACACGCTATAATAATGCGCGTTATGATATATCTCCTGGTGTCATCTAAGGATCATCAGAGGATCATCAGAATGGGGTCAGGTAAAGATGAATCCAGGAATCGTAAATGATGATCCAAGGGTGTCCAGAGTTCCCCTTAAGGGATGGATGGGTGCCACTCTTGGAGTAACAAGAGGCTCCCTCTCTGGGATCTTGAGGCTGGTACTGGGCGTCTGGGGGGTTAATACTGTTATAGACACTCCCTTGCTTTAGCCGCTGACAGAGGTTCCTCCCCCGAGTTAATGGCCAAGACAGCAGAGCCAGAATTTGCAGTGACAATGGAGAAACTATCACTGAAGAAGAATCCTGGCTGGTAGCTCCTATGCGCTCCTCAGATTGCTGTAACTCCTCCTCCAGTTCTTCCCGCTCTCTGGAATTCCCCGCCTTCCACCTGGAGATATATCACAATGCACATTATTATAGCGCGTCCAGTGAGTGCGCATTTCTTCTGTTTTATGTAAAGCACAAGCACCGACCAGGATATACAAGACCACTAAGAGCACGATTTTATCATTTATATGAACTGTTTATTATTATATTTAATTTATTTATATCATATGGACTTTGCACCTTTTACTTAATTTTAGCGCTGCACTTTACATATATATTGTTTACTGTAGGTTTTATCTGGTTACCTTTGTGCACAGCTGCTGATTACCAATTTATTTGGATTTTAGTGCGCTCACATACTCTCTATATGTATTTTATTTTACATAAACCCAAGTATTCACCATCAAACACAATAAAGGGGAAGAAGAAGAAAGAAAGAGGGGGAAAAGAAAGGAAAAAAAGAACAAAAGAAGAAAAGGAGCATCATGAAGGGAAATGCACCAAACTCTCCTCCACTGTTCTGTGAGTCCAACATTATAGTTCTATAGATTTATTGTATCCATAAGTCCCATGTTTTTCAAGTAAACTTATTTTGTCTTTTCAAAGTAGCCAATAACTTTTCATTTACCATTATCCACAATAGTTTGGCATTTATCAATGTGAACAAGATGGACGGCGATTTCTAAGTTATATATTCAGATCCAGAACATTTTAACCTTTGGGCATGTCCACCAATTGTGATATCATGATCCTTCTTGTCACATCCTCTGATGCAATTAGTAGAGGCACCTGGGTTATAGGAAGATTTTCTGGAAGAAACTTAATAATTCTTAATAGCAGTGGCAAGAGTACCAGAGATACCTCTGAAACACATTAATGATGTCCCTAATTTTTAAAAATTGAGTTTCATACCCTCTTTTTACAGTCATCACAGTGTTATTTCTATAGCACTCTTCTTTCTTGGGTTTCAAAGTGTTTTATGTGCTTATAAGGCAGATGGTAAGGAAGCCACCTTGTGCTCATTCAGTAGAATATTATACTAGGGTAATTTTATACAGGGGACAATTAACCTACCATCATGACTTTGGGACATGGGACAAAATTGGTGTATCCAGGGGAAAGCCACACAGCTAGAGTGAGAACATCCAAAATCCATGCAGACAGTGTGCTGACCAAGACTTGAACTGAGAATCCTAGTACTGCAAGACAGAAAGGCATAACACTAAGCCATTGTGGTTATTTCTTACTCAGAATTTGAAAAACTTTTTAAATGTGCTCTTTCAGCAATCCTCCCCAATATACTACCACAGTGTGATACATTTGACCTGTGTGTGTGCGTGTGTACACACTATATTGCCAAAAGTATTTTGGACACCCCTCCAAATCTTTAGATTCAGGTGTTCCAATCACTTCCATGGCAACAGGTATATAAAATCAAGCACCTAGGCATGTAGACTGCTTCTACAAACATTTGTGAAATAATGGGTCGCTCTCAAGAGCTCAGTGAATTCAAGCATGGTACCGTCATAGGTTGCCACCTGTGCAATAAGTCCATCTGTGAAATTTCCTTGCTACTAAATATTCCACGGTCAACTGTTATTGGTATTATAACAAAGTGGAAGCAACTGGGAACAACTGCAACTCAGCTATGAAGTGGTAGGCCACATAAAATGACAGAGCGGGGTCAGCACATGCTGAAGCGAACAGTACGCAGAAGTCACCAACTGTCTGCAGAGTCAATAGCTAAAGACCTTCAAACTTTGTGTGGCCTCAGATTATCACAACAGTACATAGACAGCTTCATAGAATGGTTTTCCATGGCTGAGCAGCAGTATCCCAGTCTTAGATCACCAAGTGCAATGCAAAGCACCAGATGCCATGGTGTAAAGCACGCCGCCACTGAACTCTAGAGCAGTGGAGATGTGTTCTCTGGAGTTATGAATCATGCTTTTCTGTCTGGCAATTGGATGGACGTGTCCAGGGGCGGACTGACAAATCATGGGCCCCCAGGCAATAGGGGATCATGGGGCCCCTGTGTCCTTGCTCACACTCAAAGCACACCCAAAAAAGCCTATAAAAAGGTACCAGGGGCATTTAATGGGGCAGTACCCGAGTGCTCGAATGGTCAGTCCGCCCCTGGACGTGTCTGGGTTTAGTGGTTGCCAAGAGAACGGTACTTGCCTGACTGCATTGTGCCAAGTGTAAAGTTTTGTGGAGGGGGGTTATGGTGTGGGGTTGTTTTTCAGGGGTTGGGCTTGGCCCCTTAGTTCCAGTGAAGGGAACGTTTAAGGCGTCAGCATACCAAGACATTTTGGACAATTTCAAGCTCCCAGCTTTGTGGAAACAGTTTGGGGATGACCCCTTCCTGTTCCAACATGACTGCGCACCAGTGCACAAAGCAAGTTTTCATAAAGGCATGGATGAGTGAATTTGGGGCTTGACAGGCCTGTACAGAGTCATGACCTCAACCTGAAAGAACACTTTATATTTATTTATTATTTTTTTTACCCATCACAAACATCACAAATAAATAGTAAAATGCATTATTGGACCTGGACTAATGAATTCTTTGAAATTCCCCAATACAATTCCCTTGCTGTTTATTACAGATTTAAAATTGTTAACTTTTATTATGAATAACAAATAGGAATGAAACATAGAAGTAAACCATTCTATACTGTACTGCAAACTAAATATTCCAAACTGAGTTTGGGTACTGTACTGTGTACAGTATTGTATTTTAATTATGAGTGAATGTAGAGTTATTGATTACTACAACTATATTAGAGGAAATAGAAGAATAATAAGTATAGAAATAAAAAGAGTAATAAAAAGAGGTAAACCAACATGTAATGAGGAAAAAAAAACAAGGGTATGGAGTAGGCGAAAGAAGGGAAAGTAGAAGGATGAAGAAAATGGGAGAACTACTCTTCACACAGTCTTGAACATCTAGAGGTTATTATCCTTGGAGAATAAGAGCCATGAGTATGAAGGCTTTGTATAAGAAAGGAAAACACTATATAAAGACTATTTCGAAATACACTTTATAAGAGCATAAAAGGTTTACATGCCATCCATTTATTGTTGGGTGTTGTAGAAGATTTCTGATCGTCCCTTCAGAGTCAAGGTTAGAGCTTCTATATTCGTGACATTATTTATTCTAGCTTAACACTGTGCTAAAGTAGTTGTTTCTTTTCTGGTTTCAAAATGGTACACAGATGCAGACTTGTCAGATAGTTGATTAGTAAAGTTTTATATAATTTACTGGAAATGTTTCTTTGATTAAGGAATAAAAGAGCTGAGAGTGCTTCTGATGGGTAAAGCCTTTCAACTAGTTAGATATTTCCTCAACACCCACTGTAGAATAATGTTAATTTAAAGCAGACCAGAATGTGTAGAGGCAAGTTCCTTTTCCCAAACTGAATGGTATCATGAACTTGCTAATGAAGAGAGCATTTATTTTTTGGAAATTTGGATGTATACAAATCTCATAGTAATGAATGTCAACGAATCCAATGAATGCATTTGTTTCATTCGGATGACGTCTTATGATGTAATAGTAGTTCGGGCCCAAGGGAAAAATAAATTAAACTTTTGAATTCATTTGATAATTCGGATTCAGATAACAAATGGATCCAAATTTCATTCCATTTATTAATTTGGATGCACATTACACCAGTCGATATTGTCCAATCAGCCCGTGCCATTTCTCTTAGTGGATTGGACTAGCATCTGAAAACAGAATCCTTCCAATACAAATACGTCCAATTATATGATAATAATTGAATATATAGCAATTAGAGATGAGCGAATCGAACTTGGCGCAGTGGAATTTGTTTCGAATATTAGGAAAAATTTGATTCGCATCGAATCCGAATTTTAGCAAACTTCGGATGCACGAATCGAATTTTTCCCGATCAGCCGGCAAAAGTGTCACTGCAGAGAGCTCCGCTATTTCTGACAGTTCTGACAGTTCTGACAGTTCATTTATTTTCATTCTTCTTCTTCATTCTTCTTCTTCTTCTTTTCATTCTTCTTCTTCTTCTTCTTCTTTTCATTCTTCTTCTTCTTCTTCTTTTCATTCTTCTTCTTTTCTTTCTCTTCTTTTCTTCTTTTTTCTTCTTCTTTTTCATTCTTCTTCTTTTCATTCTTCTTCTTCTTTTCATTCTTCTTCTTCTTCTTTTCATTCTTCTTCTTCTTCTTTTCATTCTTCTTTTCATTCTTCTCATTCTTCTTTTCATTCTTCTTTTCATTCTTCTTCTCTTCTTCTTTTCTTCTCATTCTTCTTCTTCTTCATTCTTCTTCTTCTTTTCATTCTTCTTCTTCTTTTCATTCTTCTTCTTCTTCTTCTTCTTTTTCATTCTTCTTTTCATTCTTCTTCATTTCTTTTCATTCTTCTTCTTCTTTTCATTTTTCTTCTTCTTCTTCTTTTTTCATTCTTTCTTCATTCTTCTTCTTCTTCTTTTCTTTCATTCTTCTTCTTTTCATTCTTCTTCTTCTTTTCATTCTTCTTTTCTTCTTCTTTTTCATTCTTCTTCTTCTTCTTCATTCTTCTTTTCATTCTTCTTCTTCTTTTTCATTCTTCTTTTCTTCTTCTTCTTCTTTTCATTCTTCTTCTTCTTCTTTTTACATTTCTTTTCATTTCTTTTTCATTTCTTCTTCTTCTTCTTCTTCTTCATTCTTCTTTTCATTCTTCTTCTTCTTCTTATTCAATTCTTCATTCTTCTTCTTTTTCATTCTTCTTCTTCTTTTCATTCTTCTTCTTCTTTTCATTCTTCTTCTTCTTTTCATTCTTCTTTTCATTCTTCTTCTTCTTCTTTTCATTCTTCTTCTTCTTCTTTCATTCTTCTTCTTCTTCTTTTCATTCTTCTTTTCTTCTTCTTTCTTCTTCATTCTTCTTTTCTTCTTCTTTTCATTCTTCTTCTTCTTCTTTTCATTCTTCATTCTTCTTCTTCTTCTTTTCATTCTTCTTTTCTTCTTCTTCTCTTCTTCTTTTCATTCTTCTTCATTCTTTCTTTTCATTCTTCTTCTTCATTCTCTTTTCATTCTTCTTCTTCTTTTCATTCTTCTTCTTCTTTTCATTTTCTTCTTTCATCTTCTTCTTCTTCTTCTTTTTTTCTTCTTCTTCTTCTTCTTCTTTTCATTCTTCTTCAATTCTTCATTCTTCTCATTCTTCTTTTCTTTTCCCTTCTTTCATTCTCTTCTCTTCATCTTCATTCTCTTTCATTCTTCTTTCTTCTTCATTCTTCTTTTCATTCTTCTTCTCTTTTCATTCTTCTTTTCATTCTTCTTCTTCTTCTTCTTCATTCTTCTTCTTCTTCTTTTCATTCTTCTTTCCTCATTCTTCTCATTCTTCTTCTTTTCATTCTTCTTCTCATTCTTCTTCTTCATTCTTCTTTTCATTCTTCATTCTTCTTCTTTTCATTCTTCTTTCATTCTTTTTTCATTCTTCTTTCATCATCCTTCTTTTCATTCTTCTTCTTTCTTTTCAGTCTTCTTCTTTTCATTCTTCTTCTTCTTCTTCATTCTTCTTCTTTTCTTCTTCTTCTTTTCATTCTTCTTCTTCTCTTTTCATTCTTCTTCATTCTTCTTCTTCTTCTTCTTCTTCTTCGTCGTGCCCCGTGACTGCCCAAATGAGTGAAGTGTGCGGTGATTCTAAGATCGACGGCACTCATCTGCATGTCATACTGACTGACAGTATTATTTCTCTTCCCCAGCAGACTCCAAGGGCATTTTAAATTAAAGGTACAGTGTTCTGCACTAATATAAAGGCTCTCTGAAGCCTAGAAACCCTTTTAATAAGTTAAATTCGCGGCGAATAAATTCGCATCGAATCTAATTTCTCCCGCAAATTCGGCGAATCAGCCGAATCGAATTTTTGAATAATTCGCTCATCTCTAATAGCAATCTTCTGGAAAAACTGCAACATTTTTCAGATCCACCCAAACCAATGAACAAAACAAATGCTGAAGTAATTAAATTAATTCTGAAAACAAAGGAATAGTTGGTGTCAGTGGGAGCAATAGTGCCCCATTATTAGTGTCAGTGTGGGAGGAATAGTGCCCATCATTGGTGTCACTGACACCAATGATGAGGCACTATTCCTGCCACTGACATCAATGATGGGGCACTATTGCTCCCACTGACACCAATTATGAGGCACTATTTCTCCACTGACACCAATGATGGGGCACTATTCCTCCCATGCTGACACTAATGATGGGGAATTATTCCTTCCACTGACACTAATGATGGGGCACTATTCCTTCTATTGACACCAATGATGGGGTGCTATTACTCCCACACTGACACCAATGATGGGGCATTATTCTTCCCACTGACACCAATGATGGGGCACTATTCCTTCCACTGACACCAATGATAGGGCATTATTTCTCCCACTGGCACCAATGATGGGGCACTATTCCTCCCACCAACACCAATGATATTGCACTATTCCTCCCACACTGACAACAATGATGGGGAACTATTCTTCCCACTGACACCAATGATAGGGCACTATTCCTCCCACTGACACCAATGATGGGGCATTATTCCTCCCACTGACACTAATAATGGGGCACTATTCCTACCACTGGCACCAATGATAGGAAAACTATTCCTCCCACTGACACCAATGATGAGTCACTATTCCTCCCACACTGACACTAGTGATGGGGCACTATTCTTCCACTGACACTAATGATCTCCAGTGAGCGTTAGAGGGGAAGAGCAGAGAGCCGGTGATGGACAGTCAAGGCCCACTGTTCACTGAAGCCTGAGAACTGAACGTTCAGCTGTCTTTGATCACTCAGTGTTGGTCTT